CACTTTTTTTTCTTAAAATTAAAAGGTTACATAGAATTTAAAGTTTAATATTGAGTTTTCTCAAAATGAAAAAATGAAAAAATTCGACTTTTTTTTTTGCATGGAATAATAACACGTATGCAAACAATTACCAAATTAAATGTCAATTATTAATCGTAAACTATAATTTTCAATTGATTGTCTGAATTAAATTGATTAAAAAAAGTTTAATGTAGACTTTTATTCAATTTTTGGTTGAAAAAAAATAATTATAAATTGCTATAACCTAGGTAGCACAAACTTCAAATTAAAATTTTTCGCCAAGTCGTAAAATTTTGTAGCTAATGGTCTAGCTAGCAGTCACTTATTTTTTAATTTTCTGAAAATAAACTCTTTTCAACGTTACTTAAGGTGGTAGGCCTATGAAAAATAGAGATTTTTGATCAAAAATTGAAAAAATAGGAAATATATTGTATTTATGTAAAAATTTATCCTCTATCTGCTGATATATGACTTGTTTAGGTTTGATTAAATTAAAAGTGTTTTAAATAACATATTTTGTTAGCTAGTTTTTTTGTTTACCTTAGCAACGTCATAGCAACGAAAAATTAAGACCTTATTTTACCCAAATTAGATGGCCAAAATGACAAATCTTGTGAAGCTTCTTTTTCCAATATAATATAGATCTGCGGTGTTTTTGGTCATGCTTTAAAGTTACATTTTCTTATAATAATTGCCATATTAAACTGTTTATATTAGCTGTGGTATAAAATCATTATTTATGAATTTTTCAACTCTTAATTTAAATCAATCAATTTGTACTTGTGTATAATCGTAATAAATGTCTTCTGGAAAAAGCAGCAAGCAAAATTTTTCACGAAAAAGAAAGAAGAAGCCTCCTGTAAATAAATACTCAAAAAAATGTCTTTCAAATATTTCATCAGAAAAAGTTACATCTAGCATAAGTAAAAAGAGGCTAATTATGAATCAAACTAATCTCAATACAATCAGTGAAGTAATAAAACAAGAAGATGATTACTTTTTATTCGTAAATTTCTCTGTACTCAAAAGTGTATTTCAACCTTTGTTAGTATGTCCTGAATGTGGCCATAAAAAAATAACTCTCAGTGATAACAGAAAGAAGAGAAAGGGATTTGCCCATAATTTAGAACTTTTATGTGAGTCATGCGAATGGTATAAATCTGTTTATACATCAAAAGAATGTAATACACAAAACCATGGTCAAGGTCCTAAAATCTTTGAAGCAAATGCAAGGGCAGTAATTGGTTTTCGTGAAATCGGTAAAGGTTTTACTGCAATGGAAACATTTTCTCAATGCATGAACATGTGTTCTTTATCTAAAACACCATTCTCTAACCTTAATGACAATGAAATTTATACAGCATATGAGAAAGCTGCTTTTAATAGTATGAAAAAAGCAGCTGAAGAAGCTCAAGACAAAACATTAAGTATTCCAACAAAACAAAGAGTAACAATTGATGGCTCTTGGCAAAAGCGGGGCTTTACATCACTAAATGGTGTTGTAACTACTGTCATCAACAACAAAATTATAGATACTAAAGCTTTTTCTAAGCATTGTAAAGGTTGTTCAATGTGGAAAAAACATAGAGGATCACCAGCCTACAACAGATGGAAAGCAGATCACATATGTCACATTAACCATACAAAGTCATCTGGTGCAATGGAGGCGGCTGGCGCATTGGAATTCTTTTCTCGATCAGTTAAAAAGTACAATTTGATTTATCATGAATACCTAGGGGATGGTGATACTTCATCTTTTAAAGAAGTTAAAGAATCTAATCCATATAAAAATTATAATATTCAACCAATAAAATTGGAGTGCATTGGGCATGTGCAGAAGCGACTTAGTACACGCTTGCGAAATATCGTACAGAAGTATAAAAGAACAGAGAAACCCCTACATGGAAAAGGAAATTTGACTTATACAATTAACTCAATGCAGAATTATTATGGTATTGCAATTAGAAACAACACTGACAACATTTATGCAATGAAAAAAGCAGTAGGAGCAGTTTTGTGGCACAGCACAAATTTCAGTGATAATAACATTCGTCATTCTATGTGTCCTAGGAATGAATATTCCTGGTGCAAGTGGCAACTAGACAAACTTAAAGGTACAAATACACACACTAACAAAATTAACTTACCTATCTTTATTCATAATATAATAAAACCTATTTTTAAAGATTTATCTGATGACGATTTGCTAAGAAAATGTTTACATGGCCAAACGCAAAATTCAAATGAAGCATTTCATTCAATTTTATGGACTCGTTGTCCTAAAAACATTTTTGTAAATAGAAGAACATTTGAACTTTGTATAAACTCTGCAATAGTTCATTATAATGATGGTGGAGATGGGGTAAAATCTGTTTTAAGTTACTTCGGATTGTTAGGATCAGTGACTATTCCAAAACTGGTTTTAAAGGACCAAAAACGAATTGTAAACAACCGTCGTAAATCAACTTCAATATGCAAAAAGCAAAGAAAAAAACTTAGATCTCTTTATAAGGGATACTTAGATACTGAAAAAACAGATTCATATAGCTCTGGTAGCTTTTAAGAAGTGTTTATAGACATAAATTTTGATTTTTAGTTTTTGATTTGATTTTTCTCATTTTGAGATTTTTAGTTTTTTTTTTAATTTTAAAACATGATATCTCCAGTTTAAATTAAGCAGTTAAGCTGAAATTTTCAGGATATGTTCTTCATACATGTAGAATTCATTTGTCATAAGATTTTTAAATTTTCTTTTTTTGGGGCGCTACAATGTGGTTTTATCTGTCAAAGTTTTTTCATAAAAATATATATTCAAGTTTAAAAGTCAATATAATCTGAACCAGGAAGGCAGATTAAAAAATCCTATGACAAATGAATTTTATACATATATAGAACTACCATACCAAATTTGGAGTTTTGATCTATTGTCACTTTTGAGAAATAGTGTTTTGAAGTTTTCGTTTTTTTCACACTTTTTAATAAATTTTTGAGGCAAGCGAGGCACTTTTTTATATATTTTTTTGATTTTATGTTTAGTCTCATAATTATTGGTAATAAATGCTTAGTTTTATTGTAAATTTTATTTTGATGCTTAAAAAAAGTTTTTCATAGGCCTACCACCTTAATAAAAATTTGATATATTTTGATTTTTTCTTTTCAACAAAGTTAAACATTTTGATTTTTAACATACCTTTTCTCCAACATCATTAAAAAGTCAAAAGATTTTATTTTTCGTGAGCATCTTAAAATGTTTTTAGTTTAGTAGTTTTAAAAAATTTATATAAATTTAAAGAAAAAAACAATTATTCAGGTAACACTAGAAAAAGAAAAAGCAAAGGGATGAAGTTTTTTTAATGTTATAATTGGCTACCATTTTCGACTTTGCTAGCCACTATCTCTGAGGCTACTGTCACCAAAGCAAAAACATTTTGTATTTACTTTAATCTAAGTGTTTCTAAGTAGTAGAAATTTACCTTTCGAAAATAAGACAAACTCATTTTTCCATTTTGGCCTACCCAAACTACATAGTAAATTGTACACCGGTTTGGTTTGTAGTGAATTTTCCTACTTAGACTTAGTTTTTTGGTTTTTACTTGTTTACAAAAATGTTTTGTTTTTTTCCACATAAAAGATCTTGTTAATAAGTTGTCGTCAGATAGATCTGTAAATATTGGTTTGGCACAAATCCAAATTAAAGCGGAAATCCTGTTTATTATTTATAAATGTTTGCAAAATTTGCATTTTAAACTAAGTATCGACGTCATTAAAAAAGATTACAAAACTTTAGTTTCTTAATTTCTTCATCTTAATTAAAAATAATTTAGCAAACTTTATTAAAGCTCAAGTTAAATTAAAAAAAAAAAAAAGATAAATTAAAATTTAAGTATCAAATTCGCATTTAATACGTAACCGTCCAACTCCCACTTCTTCCTGTCTGCTAATATCGTAAACCATAATATATATTTAAATTCTATGCAAATTTTATCATATTTATTTATATCACATTTAATTTTTTTCTCAGTAAATTGAGCCAAAAATCGGCTAAAATGACTCGTGCCGTTAAATAGAGCAACTTCGTATATAATATTTATTAATAGCTTTTTATATAATTAGCTTATCTCATTTAACTTTTAAGTTTTATAATGCATTTACAAAATAAAATAAAAAACTAAACCAAATACTTAATATATGACGTTATTGTAACTTTAACATAATTAGGATTTGTTATCAAGTGTCTCGTAAATGAAAGGAAGTGGACTAAGAATAGTTTCCGCTCAGGTAATGCTTGTATTAACGCAGTATTATTAACAGTTAGTATATCAATGATTAATAACAAAAAAATCGTATTTGAAAGAGTAACCGCACATATCAACAGTGCAATTGAAAATATTTTATATACTTATTGCGTATAAACAACACTAAGAAACTAAGTAAAAAATTCTTATTCTCTATAATGCCGGTAAAAGAAAATTTAAATAAAAGATTTTATTCCAATGAATTAAAGGGTCAACACTTATGTCTTTAAAATTTTACATTTTAAATCAATTTAAGTAAAAAACAAACAAAGAAAACGTATCCATTAAATATTTTCTTGTCTTTGAGCAAAAAAAAATAATGGGTAGCTCATGCTTGTGAAACATTCGGCACGAAATTTCCAAGAAGTTTAATAAAAACAAATCGAGTTTTTAATAATTAGTAAAATACAATATAAACAAATCGCTAATATGGAGTTTTTGTAGTTTGTATGTAGTCAGGATTTTTCATTATAAATTTTTTATAAAATGAATCATTAAGAAGAGTCTATTTTCTGAAAATAAAGCACAAAATGTCATGCAAGGATTTCATAGAAGAAAAATGAATTGTTTCTTTAAATTATTGAATTTTTTCACGTGAATGTTATCCAATAACAGACAGTTTTAAGACAAAGCGTTTACTACGATTGGGATTTATGACACACGTGACCAGTGCTTGATTAAACTGAAACTTTATTAGTCATGGTAAAATATAACATGATGACGGGTATTTATACGTAATATTAAGCATACTTTTTACAGCCTTTTTAGTAAATTTTTAATAATCTTGGTAAAATTCGTGCAAACTTAAAGTAGGTACTTTTTTATGAAAGGATGTTTATTTTTTCTGTTTAGTCAGAGATTAATGTTACTAATCATAAATTTATCAAACATTTACAAACGTGGTTGAAATATATAGCAAATTTACATTACAAAAATATACATAAAAAATATACATATATTTTAAAACATTTAGAGAATATAATTAAAAAAAACTAACTTATCTAAATGGAGCTTCATGATGTTTTTAATTTTTGGAACTTTAATGATGTTTTCTTTTACACAATGACATAGTGTGTTGTACAAGTTACCAATTTTAACCACACTGAAATTAGCTCTTTAATGTTTAAAGGATTATTTTTAATTTTGGTGTGTCAAGTTTGTCTGCATAGTTTAGTTTATATAACTAAAAAAAGGTCTAGTTAAAAGTAGATATCTGTGCAGAAAATACAACTTTTAATAATTTGCTTATTCTTTATAATTTTTTTAATTATGTTAAGAAATAATAGCCTAACTTTATTGGCTATATTATTTAAAAATTTTAATATATAAAAATTTAAAGATTATAAACTAGTTATAATGTTAAAGATTCATTCTTTTAAATCTTAACATTTAGACTAAATTGTACTAGTTTACATACATACATACATACATACATACATACATACATACATACATACATACATACATACATACATACATACATACATACATACATACATACATATATATATATATATATATATATATATATATATATATATATATATATATATATATATATATGTATATATATATATATATATATATATATATATATATATATATATATATATATATATATATATATATTATATAAATTAGCTATTAACTAAAATATTATTGCTCTTTTAAGAACATTCAGCACTCTATTTTGTAGAAGTAATTTTAAATTATTTGTATATATGTTAAATATTTCTTGAAAAGCTTGCTTTATCTAGACTTCTTCTGCATGTAACTTCTTCTGTAAACTTCAACCCTTTACAATCTGGATATAAATATAAAATCAAAATTTAAAGACATTACAGAGAAATATTAACAGACAAATAGAATTGTTACAAACCAATAAAAATTATAATACAAATTATGATACCATAAATAGCAAAAAAAAATAAAAAAATTAAATTTAAGTAAAAAAAATCATTAAAAAATATTGTAAAGATGTTATAATTAATTTAATTTTCATTATTAACAAATTACAAAACAGTTTATGTATAAAAGATCCATTTCCTAAGCTGCTCAAATCAAATGTTTACAAATTTTCATGTGCTGGATGTAATGCCAGTTATATTGGAGAAACCTCCAGACACATAACAACAAGGATTCATGAGCATCTTACAAGTGACAAACAATCTAATGTTTACAAGTATTTAATTTCATCTGTTAATTGTAAAAATCTAAGTAACTATAATTGCTTTAAAATTTTTGATATACAAAAACATCTAACAAAAAAAAAAAAAAGAAAATTAAATGGGAAAACCATCTTTAAAATTCACAAACTGTTCATTATTATATAAATTTGTCAATCTAGTTTGTTTTTATTTACTTAATAAAAACAAACAAACTAGATTGACAAATTTATATTATAATCGCGCTCGTAAAATTAAAATATGTTTTCATCGAGCGTGATTATGTGCGCTTGAGATAACGTCGACAAGCGCGATCATGAAAATTGCTGAAGATCTTTTTTTATTTGTTACATCATTCTTTCGTCGACAAATGTTATAATTAGTATCACACTCATGAATTAACACTCTTGTATATTGTCAGATCGGGATTTTTTTTTAACTATTTATGTTATAAAAAAATATATATTAAACAAAAACGCAACTTCTAGTTGATTTAGTATTGAAGTATAATTTAGTGACTTTTTTTATAATTTAGTGCCTTTTTTTGTTTCGTTGTTTTGATATATGTATTTAAAAATAGTTTTTATATTTCTTGATATTTTTTATTCAAATTAATTCATTTCTAAAATTTCTTTTTTAAATTACGATTTTTTTATCTTAAAAAAATAACACAAGAAAGTTTGAAAATCTTTTTTTTTTTAAACTATTTATTATAGGTTAAATAACAGATTTTCCCCTCAACTGTTGTCAACGGTGTTTCCTCTTCTACATTTTCGAAACTGAATGCAGCTAATTTGTCACTCATATCTGGTAACAGTTCTAAAGCCTATTACCTCTTGAACTTCCATTTAATAAATGTTGACAACATTACTATGTTTCCTTTTGGAATGTCATTTATTGCGGACATTCTAAACAACAGAAACGTTTTAAATTTGAGTTAAAATAAATAATAGTTAATAAAAAACTTATACTATAAACAAAAACTAATTTAAAAAAATTACTGAATCATTATTATTTATTTTTATTATAAACGATGTATGGAATATTACAAACAATAAATCAAATAAATCTTACTTGATGTATTCACAGGATTAAAAATATTCTGCAGTTTCAATTTTCTTATAATGATTTACTAATTTTTTATTATTTTATTTGTGCATTTTTTTATTTGCATTGAATTTCTACATGCACATTCCATCAATAAAATTAGTGCCTATTAACGACTTAAAAATGCTCATTCATTAGGTTAGTGCAAAAAAGAACGACGTAGTGCTTTTTTTATTTTATATTGTATTAGTGCTTCGATAATATAAAATCTTTATTAAAAAATCTTTTTTTCATATTTTATGAAAATAAAAAAAAAGTTATTATTTGTTTTGCCCCGAACTCTTGGACGAGTGTTATTTTATACGCTCGTTATAAGCTGAACGAGCGTTGTTTATCGCGCCTGGAACATTTCAAAATACCATTTACGGGCGCGTTTCACGAGCGGAGCGCGATCGCGCTCGATTCATCAAGCCCTGTGTATATATATATATTTATTGCTATTTACGGTATTATAATTTTTATTGGTTTGTAACAATTCTATTTGTCTGTTAATATTTCTCTGCAATGTCTTCAAATTTTGATTTTATTTTTATATCCAGCAGGGATGCGGAGTCCCAAAAGGATTCCGGCTTTATAACTTTATTTTTTTATGGCCCAGGTGTCCAGAAGCTCTAAAAATGTTGATTGATTAATGATCTGCTATAAGAAAAAAATTTATGATATTTAATGACTTAAAACTTATTGTTTTTAAGCCCGGAGTCCTTGCCGCTATTATACTTAAGGATTCTAGGTTCAAAAATTGATTGTTCTTTTGACCTACAAGTCTCAATATTTTCCCCATTAGTATCCCATAAGGTTTTTTTATATTTTTAAAGCTCCTGGATACCAAAAACTAGAAAGTCTTGCATATTAGTCAAAAAGTTTCTTCCATAAACTGGTGTTTTAAAGAAATCACTAATAAACCAGACCAGAAAAGTTTAAAAATTTAATAATTTTTTTTTTTTTAAATGCCCTGCCCTAACCAAACCTTTAATTGGTGTAGCGGCACTCTGTTGCAAGTCAAGCTATAAGATAGTCGATGTAGCAACACTCTGCACATGTTAAAAAAAATATTTTTAAAAAACAAAAACAATTAAAAAACTTTCTAGTCAAAAACCCGCAATAATAATTTGTTGCGGTTTTTTAAAAAAACAATAAAACTTAATATACTTCTGCATTATCTTAATTGTGTTGACTTCTGCATTATTTAAATTGCTTTGACTTAATAAAAATGTGGCTTATTTGTTGAGGTCGCTTAATTGTTGTTAAAAGAAACTTTTTTTTGCATAAAAGTCCCTTTGACTATGAGATAAATATATACACACACATACACATACAACCCTGGGAATTAGGAAAAATGAGGTCAGCAAATTATTGCTGACCTCAAACACTTTTAGGTTGGCAGTTAGGTCGGCATTGTGGAATTTGGACCCTAATTCCGAGGGTATATATGTATATGTACATATATATGTATATATATATATACATATATATGTACATATTTATTAGGTTTGTATTTTTTTATTTAACTTTGTAATTTCAAAAAGCTATTATTCTTTAATAGCAATAAAAAGAATTTATCATTTGTGTAGCAAAAACAATACTTAAAATTGAACTTTTTCCTAAAAAGAAGTGCATTTATAAATTTAATTATTAACATCAGAAAGAAACAGAATATTCAATTAAACCAAATTTTTTTGGCTGTAATATATATTCATATAAATAAATATATATTACAGTAAATATATATATATATATATATATATATATATATATATATATATATATATATATATATATACACATACACAAGGGGTAACATGTATCTAACATCGAATTCCCTAATATATTTTTGCAGTTTAGTTCTTAAAATGCGCACTTTTTATATTTTTAATTTTTCAGTAAATGATTGCTGTGTTAACCCAAAACCCTACTTGATGTAGCAACACTCCTTCCATGTTCTCCCTATTTAGTCAGTTGGTATATGTACCAAAGCCCCTGCAGCTCCCTATTTCAGTATTATGTCATCAATGTGTATCTGATGCTGTATTTAGTTGCGCAAACATTTTTGACAATTCTGGTACATGTGATTCTTACAACACCAGATCAAATGCTAGATCTTGTATTTATGTAATACCATGAAGCGTTCAATTCTTGTCATTTGAGCATTGTTTATTTGTTTTATTATGATCATTAAGGAGTAATGAATATACTATATTAAACTATTTCTTGATGTTCATTTATTTTTTTACAATTTAAGTTGCTATAAGTTTGTTAACCATTAGAAATTTGCCAAAATATATTTTGTATATGCTTTACTTCTTGATGTACAATTATTTTTTTACAATTTAAGTTGTTATATGTTTGTGTTAACTTTGTTTTGTATATACTTTGCCAGAAGGAGATTAAAAGTTGCTGTTTTTAACAACAGCTGTCAAATTTTGGCTTAAGAAATTCATATTGTTGTTGAACATTGTGATAACAAATAAGATTTAATATTATAAAAAGAGTTGATAGAAGCACATTTTTTATCAATTACAATATTTTCTTTCAGACAAAATTTTTCATCTTACTTTTTTATTAAATTTGACATTATAATTTTATTTCACTTTTTTATATTACTAGATTCTCTACAATTTTGACAAATGTATGTACATTAAAATAAATTATTTTTGCTTCATATAGTTGAATAAATTATTTTTGCTTCATACATTCTATGGTTCATATTTTTAAACTTTTTGAATAATTAATGCGTTTAATAATGGATTAAATGTCTTAGCTATAGTTAGATAGTATCTTTTAAGAAAGGATAATAGAATAAATAAAAGGTTGGTGCTTTTCCTTGGCGTGATTTTATAATTAATGCTGAAATCTTTAATCAAAATATAAACATTTCAATCACTGATTAAATGTTTAAAAATATTTTTAAAGCATAGGACTTACAAATGGTTTCTTACAAATTGTGGCAGTTAGAGATAAAGTTTTTAAATGTAGGCTTCAAGACATTTATACTTAATTGAATGTTTTATTTATTCTTCATATGATGTTTTTAAATTTAAAGTAAAAGTAGACTAAATGATTTTCCTGCTGGTTTTTTTCTAGTTAATCTTTTATGTCATGGTTTTTTTGAAGTTAACAAGATATCTTTTATATGTCAAAAATGATTTTTTTTTTAAGTTTTTTTAAGTAAAAGATTTTTTTTTTAACTACATACATATGTTTCATTTCACAAATGATTTGCAGGCTGAGACAGCTTTTTAAGTTTTTAACTTTTTAAAAATATATATTTTTTTTGAATTTAATAAGTATTCTTTTTTTATTTTATTTTTACTTTTATTTTTTAATAAATGTAAGTCATAAATATTGATCTTAAATTAATAATGATCTTATTGTAAAATCATTTTTTTAATTATATTGAAACATTCAAAAAAAAAAAAAAAGATTAATAAAAATCATTTTTATTTTTAAATTTTGGATAGAAGGAGATTTAATATTTAACAGTTCATAAAAGTTAACAAACTATTAAGTTTTATTTTCTTCATATAAAAGTTTAATGGTTATTTAAAACTTATCTGTATTATGTGGATACACCCTTCTTACTAAAATTATTTTTTCTGCCATATCTGTATTGTAGTATTCATGTTAAACAGTTAATTAATTAAACAAAAGGAACTTTCGAAAAAAGGATATGGTATAATTTGCTTAATAGTATTATTTTTGATGTCATAATATGCTGTGCATTATGGGTTGTAACACTTGAATGATTTTTAATTTGTTTAAATTAATTTAGATATACAAAATCAATCTTTAACATTAATAATAATATTTGGAGCATTTAAGCTTCTTTTTTTGTTATTAATATTCTATTTTTTTGTTTGAGATAAAAAAGTATATAAATAATTTTTTGTTGTATATGCAACTTAGTTTAATATTCTTATGAAATGTCATTGTTAATCATTTTACTATTACTGTCATCATTTATATTATTTTATTTCTGCTTTTAGAGTAAAAAATGTTTTTGAGTGTTATATTTATAAGTGTTATTTTGACTTCAATAATTAATGGTTCAATAATTGATGTTCTTGAGGCAACTAATGGTCATGAACCTAGAGTTGCTATTAATTGTGGAAAAGTTCCTTTTTACGTTGATTTGGAAACAGGGTCATGGATTGCAGATAGTAATGGAGTAGCAGTTTGTGATGCAGATAAAGACGAAGTGAAGAGGTTAGATTTAATTTACTTTACTAGTAAAAAACAATAGTTATGAAGCTAATTATAAAAAACTATGTATATCAGAGATTATCTTTTTCTAGATATATCCCAAATAATGTTATGAATTCACCTAAAATTTTCTTTAAAAAAGTTGGCTATGTATGTTTAAAAATGTTTTTAAAACCATTTAAAAAAATTTTTTAAATGGTTTTAAAAAAAAATTAGTTCTAAAATAAACAGTTTTGTTTTATAAAATTAACTAAGCAAGTTTTATTATAGAGGCAACTTTAAAGAAAAATTGTGATTTCACTTCTAAATCTATTCAATTATGCTTACAATTCTATGTTGTCTTTGAACTTTTTTTTCTTTTTTTTTTCTTAGTAAAAATGTTTATTTAATGTTATGATATTTTTCATAAAGGCAAAGTTTACAATAATGTTCATTTAACTATGCTTCACTTGATTATTAGCCTAATACCAGACATTCTTAGAAAGTTTGGTGTTATGCAGTCTGGTCTAAATTTTTTTTGCGAGATTATTGTAGAGCGATGTTATAGTGGCTTTATATAAAAAAAAATTATTTATTATTCTTTCGTTTACCTGAAGAAGCCGACCTAAGTCTTCAAATCTTCAAATGAATAAAATTTATATATACAAATATAAATTTTATTGATGTAAATTTATTATATTTATACCATTATTTTTTTAATATAATATAATGCAAACATGTAATTTATTATTAATTTTAAATTTTATATTGAAAAAATAAAACAATTTTTTTAAATTTTAAATGCTATTTTATATGCTTTTTTTGACATGAAAGAAATATTAAAAGAAGTAAAAAAAAAAAAAAAAAAGGAAAGTATGCATAGACTATGTAAAGAATATTAACTATACAAGTCAATTCCTAAAAATATTTTAGCTTTCAAAAAGTATTAAAAAAAAAAAAACAACTTTAGAGTTTAGCTTCAGTTTCTTGATATTTATACAATATTTTTCTTTACATAGTATTTTTTGTTTTTTCTATTTTTTATTTTATATTTATAAAAAATATTTTTGTGCATTATTATTTGACATTTTTAAGATATTGTCAAAAAACATACCCTAAACTGAACATATCTAATGTTGTTGAAGCAAACACAGCAGTAAAGTTTAAAAACTGGTGTCAACCAGGAATCCAGCAATGCAGTGTAACAAAGCGTGTTGTGCCATTTAGATGTTTAGGTAAAATTATTTTATATATTGTACAAATAGATTTAATTGTTTGTTTATCATTTTTGATTGCATGATGTGTTTTTTTATAATTTTTTTATAATACAGTTAATTTCTGATAACTCGGACCTCCAAGGGATCAAGGAAAATGGTTTGACTTAACAAATGTTCAACTAAAGCGAATTCTTGTTAAGTCAAACTTTAGCTGATATGAGATATTAGTTCGAAGTTAGACAATTTTTTTTATTTAAGGCTAAAGTATATACATTATATTTACACCATTATACCAATGTTTCAATGGAATAAGTTACAGCTTGTATTCAGGCAGTACAGTCAAAAGATAACTTTTTGAAAAAGCGACACAATGACTTCCTTATTATTTCGTCATATAATTGCGTCTAAAATGTAGCAGTCTTTTATTTAGAAATTTATTAAACTATAAAATGATTGCTTTTTTAAAAGTTTTATCAAGATTTATCTTTTAACGGTTTTTTTATAGCATTATTTTACATTTTTTATAACATTATTTTATGTCTGATCTAAATAGATCTAAATTCAGCAAAATAGATCAGATACAACAAAAAGATAAGGAAATTATTAGGCTACAGTTATTTAAGTTTTATAAGGAATGACTTCTTTTTTTTTATAAATTTTTAAATAAAATCATTATCTTTAATTCCCATACAAAAAGTTATCCAAAGAAATTTGCTGAAAGGCAACAAAAAAATGGTTTGAAGAAGATTGAGTTATCAGAGGTTCCACTCAAAATGTTAATATGTATAAATGTTACAGAATGTTTACTTTTCTTCCAGTTGTTTTAAATATAGAATAGTATCTTGCACTCAGAGATAAGTCAAAATTATGTTTTGAAGAGTTAATAACAATAACAGTTGTACGCTGTGTTATGTTGTAGCAAACATAAATAATAAATCAAGTCAAATAAAAGTTAATATTTCAAAAGTTGATCTTTCTTTTTTTGTTTGTTTGATTTGGTAATGATGATTCCGTTTATTGTAAACTTGTTTCAGACTGTTTCAGACATTTACCACATTTGGTGAAAAAACTATGATGCTTCATGTTTCCTAACAACTGTCTTTTTAAGTTATTAAACTTAAAAATTATGGCCTCTAATTTTATGGTTGTTATCTAGCACCTCTGGTTGTCTGTAAAAATTTATAATATACCCTATAAAGTGTTTAAACATTTGTATTAGATCACCCAATCACCCATTCTTTTCTTGTTCACCAAGGGTTGCAAATTCAATTTTTTAAATTTTGATTCCATATATGAGCTGCATATTCCAAATGCGGACAAACTATGGTTCCTAAATTCAAACTAATTTGATGCAGTCTGTTACAGATTTAATTAAAACAGTATAAATTTGTTTTTAAAAAAGTATCAATTAAGTTAGAAATACAAAATATAGAACAGCACTAAACTGTCAAACTAAATAATAAACAAGCAAAAAAATAAAAGAAAATCACTAAATCAGCAGCTTTGATTTAATCATAGCTGTAGTTTTGTGGTTTTTAAATTTAGAGCCCCTTTTGGAACTTACATCTCTGGTTAAAAATGTTTATTCTTAGTTAACACAATCTTAATATTTATATAGTTATATATTTTTAAGATTTTTTTTAACATAAGTTTTTTAACACATGCATTTTTCTATAAAAGAAAATTTTTGTTTTCTTTAAAAGAAAATACTTTTAGTTTTCTATAAAAAGTGTTTTTTAGTAAATGAGTATGAAGCTGATGCACTGATGGTTCCTGATGGATGCAAGTTTGACCATATTCATGATCCAGAATTATGCTTAACTCACAAAGAATGGCGTAGGCAAGCTCAACGTGAATGTTCACGTAAATATTCTATGAAGTTAAAAGATTATGGCATTCTTTTATCTTGTAAAACTGATTACTTTACAGGTACATACTTTTATATAGTTATTTTGATAGACTTGTCAACTTTTATATATCGATAGGTTAATTCTAAAACATTTTATGTCCAAATTTGGACTATATTAAGTTATGAATGTTGAAATGTCGATCTCTGCGCCCTCTACTGTCTACCAAATTATAGGGAGTGGAAGAGATATTTATTTTAGGTTATTCAATAAAAACCAAATGTGGCATGTCCATCTTATTGTTTTTTTTCAAAGCATAAACATGTCACATATGTTTGATGAATGAAGATACATACAAATATTATACACAGAAATGTTGAAGCAATTTTATAGATTTATTGACTTTTTAAGAATTATCATCTTTAATATACTTATTTTTATAGTATTATGAACTTTTATAAACTTTTAAAGAAATGTCTCAATTTACTTTTTTATTTATTTATTTTTATTATTATTTTTTATTATTATTATTATTTTTGTTAATAGTCTTTTAAACAAATTTCTAGGTATTAAAAGTATTTTGAAAGTTTATATACTTAGTATTTTTTCCATATTTGTGAGATATTTTCTGATCAACCATACTATGATAATGTGGTACGTATATATGATGCTATGCATAGGGTACAAATGGGAGTTCATAAGCAAATCGTCCACTCTTGCACTGATCTTTGGTTATAGTCGTTGAATTTAAATAAAATTTTTACAGATATATGGTTCTATATGTTTTACAAATATACTATTCAATATGCTTTTCATTAGGAGTGGAATTTGTTTGCTGTCCTAAGAAACAAGATAGATCACAAAAAGTAGCAAGCAAACCCAAAGTAGAAGAAATTGATAACAGTGGTTTTAAAGCAGCAATTAAAAATTTTCAACAATACTTGCCTCTAGAAACTAAAGGTATCTACTCTTATATAAATTACTGTCTTGTTATTTGCATCTAAACACAAGATAAAACGTATTTTTTTTTTTTAGGTTGTGATCGAAGCAATTACTTAACACAACAAACAGCAATGGAAGATCGTCATAGAAACCAAATTGCTGCTGTCGTTGATGAATGGGATGAAGCAGAGAGAAGATACAACAAACTTAAAGCTCAAGATCCTAGTGCTGCAGAGGAAAAAATGAAGAGTATGATATTAAAATAAAATGAATAAGATTTTTTTTTTAAGTAGAATAGAACACGCTATTTTTAAAATATCTGAGTTAAAATATATTAATGTTTAAATATAATATCTCTAGTGGCTCTTATAAGAAAATTTTTTTTTTCTATTATATACATTTAGGAACACTTGAGGTTTTTAGACAAACATTAGCTGCACTTGAACAAGAGTCAAAAGTTGAAAAAGATCGTCTTCGTGCTGAGCATGCTGATTGTATAAATACGCAAATTGCAAAAGACAAAAGAGATGCTATGACAGGCTATTTAAATGCTATTGAAGCTAAGCCCGCAAATGCAGAGCAAATTTTAAAAGCTGTTCGAAAATTTATTCAAGTTTGTGAACATGACCGAGTACACAGGTACTTTTATAATTTTAAATAACTTGTTGTAATTTCTTTAAAATATTCAAATTTCTGTAAACTGAGGTAATAATCCAGGTAGTTAATAAGTTTTTTTCCAAAAATTTATAAGTTAATAAATATATATTAATTTTATTATTTTTTATTCAAAAATACAAAGATGTAATACTTGCACATATCCTTGTTTTCAGTCTTCGCCATTTTGAGCATGTGAGAAATCAAAATGAAAAAAAGGCTGAAGCCCTGCGTGGTGAACTTCTTCAACATTTAAAAGATTTGAACAAAGTTGTCAATGAAAGTATGGCTCTTCTTAATTACCTTCCAGAAATTGCTGAAAAGTTTGGTTTTACAGGAGGAAGTGTTCTAAAGCCAAGAGTAAGTTGCTCTTACAAACACAAGTTTGTAAATTGAGTTAAAGCTTAATACATTAAATACCCAAACACAAGTTTAGAAATTTAATGTCTTCACGTACTTAAGATTCTCTTGACTTTTGTCAAGAGGATCTTAAGTACGTTAAGTTTTGTTTGCACCCAATTTCAAATTTAATTTTATTTTCGATATATTTTATGTGCTTTTTCAAGAAAAAATACAGGAAACTATTTTTATGGATACTTTTTTAAATAAAAAAGTATATACCTAAGGCTGTATATATTGTTTAGATTAAAGTTTGTTTCAAATTAAATAATTTTTTTTTATATTAGATTGATGTCCCAACTGAAGAAGATCATTCACATTCACGTGTTGAAGAAATAATAGAGGAAGCTTCTAAGAAATACACAAGAACTGAAAAACCTAATGTAACTTTTTAATACATTTTAATACACAAACGTCAATTTTTTATTAAAAATTCATATTTTTAATTTTTTAATTTGTTACCGGTGTTTTTTTCTTTCATTAAAACAGAATGAACGTGTTCCCACTGATGCTATTCCCAATGATCCCAAGTTGTTGAGTAAAGTAACAAGTCCATCAGAGAACGATAATACTGAAGACGAAGATGATGATGACGACGATGATGATGAGGACGATGACGACGATGATGATGAAGACGATGAAGAGTTAGTTGCCGTTAAAAAGTTAAAGGTTCAAACTACGGTAGATACTAATATAGTAGATCCATCAACCACTACTGTTTTTCCTCAAAATCTTGCTTTAGAGTTGAAGAGTTCTGATGAAGATGTAGCCAATGTTGTGCAGGAGGAACCTAAAAATAATGAACATCACCGTAGCAAACGCTCGGTTTTACTTACTGCAATTTTGGGATTATCTTGTGGTATTGTTGTCGTGATGTTGTTTGTTGTAGTAGCATTAATTATGCGACGACAAAGAATTGTCAAAACACGTGTTATTGTTTCGGAAAACAATGATGATCGCGAACACCTTGTTAAAATGCAGAAAAATGGGTTTGAGAATCCAACTTATAAGTTTTTCTACTTCTAATTTCGAGAAATCAGCCATGAATAATTTTAGATAGTCTTTACTGGTTCATTTAACCAGTCGTGGTGAAACCAGACCAATGGCGTTCTTTATTTTCATGGTGCTAAAAATTATAACAAATTAAATGTGTTTGTGCAAATACTCGATTCTCGCATGTGTTACATTTATAATTTTATAGTAGCCTCTGTATATTATCTGCTTATGCTTAACTTTTAGTAAAAATTCTTTCTTATGTAAATAGATTAACTCTATTTAAAGTTACGAATGTTTTAAGCCTGATGTATTTCGTATTTTAGACCAGGTCTTATTTATAGTAGTAACCACGTTGATTTTTGAGTCTTGTATATTTAATATTAACTTGTAATCTTAAGTTTTTATTTATTATAATTTGTTAATTTATTTTGTTATTTTTATTAATAATGCACTCATGTATTAAAAAAAGTCTGCACTTTTTTTTTTGTTACGTTTTGTCTTTTATTTCCTTAAAAAGGGTAAATAGGAACAAAATATTACTTATCATCCACAAAATAATATGTACAGAGTAAGTGAGCCTAGAGAGTATTCACAGTATAAGTTTATGTGTCAACTATCAAGATATGAGTTTAATAAAATTTTGTACACTGATGAACCTAATATTTAAAAAAAAAAAGCTTGACGTTAAAAATTAAAAAAAAAAAGTTAATTATCAAATTCTTAAAGCTAATAGTTTGTTTAATAACCTACTTAATAAACTGTCTGTTTTAAATGTTTTTGATCGTTTGCAGATTTCCTAAGTTAAAACACTAAACGTGTAACAAATTTGATGTTATGCCTGACAATGAAGCTGTTTCGACACATTTTTGTGGCCGTCCACTTCTGAATGATATGATATTCAAATGCAAACATATTGATATACCGTAACACGGTACGTTATGCCTTGCGGTCCTACTTTAATCCACTACAGAAATTTTGAGTTTCATGCTTCTTCTGTTCAAACGTCCAAAAAGTGGCGGGTTTTTTTCTATTGGTTAATTTATATACGACTAACACAGTTATAAAACCATATTGCCATTTCCGCACATTAAATAATCTTACTTTGAAATGGATGTCAAAAAGTAACTGAGATTGCTAGTGAAATTGGCTTGGCAGAACTTTTATTTGGTTTATTATTATCGCGCACACTACAGAGATATAAAATCTCTGAGTTTGCTAGACTAACATCTTAGTTAAAAGATTTGAATATTTTTTTAGTTATTTTTTTAATTTAGTTTCAAGAAAAAAATACCTAATCACATTTAAATTAGTTTTTATGTAAAAATGGGATTACTTTAATCTGGACTTAAAGTAACCCCATATCATTTATTAAATCTCCAATCATTTTATTTATGTTAAATTAATATACATTTGTTTATTTATTTTGGTGATATGATGGGTGATTGATTTATTTCTTTATTTAATTTATTATTATTATAACAAATGTAATAAAATTAAAGTAATTAACATATATTAACTCGTTTCTCCGCGCAGCGGCCTTGTTCGTCAAGGTTCGTGTTTCGGAGTTATAGAGTTGAGAGAGGGTTATAGCCACAAAATAAGTAGCCTCCTTGTCTGTAGTGGCCTTCTCGGCCTTGAGGAGGTGAAGTAAAATAAAAAAAAAAAAAATATTATATTATATATTAATAATATATATATATAATATTATATGTTAATGACTTTTGTTGTTGTTTGTCTGTTTTTGAATTATTTTAGTCTCTGCTTTGAATTAGTTTTTACTTACTCTTTGCACTGTCCCTTTACAATTTTCGTTGCCCTTCAAAATGGTTCCTTTGCATTTTCTTTTCATAAAAATAGTATTGTGTAGTTTTATTACATTGTAAACAGTATTTTTGATGTTGGTAAAATATATTGATTAATTTATACTTCAGCTTATAAAAAATGCCAAGAATGTATTCTAGGAGACCAGGCTCCAGAAAATATGTAGATTATTCTAAAGAAAAGCTCCAACAGTGCCTTAATGAGTCAGAGAGTAGCATCTAAACATTTCTGCATATCTAGAATGACATTTAAAGTAAACTAAAGTTTAAACACAATCAAAAACCAGGACATCCTACAACATTTACTGCTTTAGAAGTATCTTCTTTGTTTCTCACATCTTGGCAGTGTCTGAGTTTGGATTCCCTGTTGATGAATTGGATTTTAAATTTATTGTCAACGATTACTTCTTTTCCCAAAACAGAACTATTGCATAGTTTAGAAAAAATTTTCCAGGACTTGAATGGAGTAAATTATTTTTAAAAAGACACCCTATGCTCACTTTGAGGTTGGCAGCTAATATAAAACGTTATCGGGCTGCTGTTAACAAAAAAACCTTAAGCTAGTTTTTTGAAAATCTTAGCCAAGTTGTTACAAATGTGCTAGCAGAAAATATATCCAACTTTGATGAAACAAACTTAAGTGATGACCCAGGCCGCAAAAATATTACGGCATGTACAATACCACCTAACGTTGTCTACAAATCAGAAAATCTGTGGTCGACGTGAACTGAAAACGGTCCCCATGGAACTAGATACAATCGCACAAAACACGGTTGGTTAGATATAGTCACACTTGAGGAGTGATTTACTGCTCACCTGCTTCCTATACTGAGAAAACAGACTGGAAAAAAAGTTCTTATTGGGGATAATTTATCATCACACATCAGTCAGAATGTTTTAAAATTATGTCAAGTAAATAACATAGTATTTACCTGTTTACCAGCTAACTCATCGCATTTAACACAGCCTCTAGATGTTGCATATTTTAGGCCACTAAAAAGTAAGTGGAAAATTGTTTTGACTCTGTAGAAAGAATCACCTGCAGGTACAAATTCCACTTCCAACTTCCAAAAGGACGCTTTCCACCACTAAAAAAAGTACTGGAATTAAAAAAAGACACTTCTAGTGAAAATTTAATATCAGGTTTTGCTAAGTGTGGAATTTATCCTTGTAATAAAGAACCCCTAATTAATCGTTTGCCACTGCAGGATTAATCAAAAGAAAAAATTGGTCGTTATAACTAAAAATTGCATTAAAGTGGTTTAAAGTAACCCCGTGTTACGGTATTGTATTGATATTTTAAGTTTTTAATAAATTACTGTTTACTACGATTGCAATTAATATTTATGAATTTAAATCTTAATAACTTTGTTAACGTATATTGTATTGTGATACATATTATAATGTACAACATTTGTAATGTGAAACATTAATTACGTAACGTAAATTCCGAAAAGAAACGATGTTAATATAATTATACTCCAGCTGTGTACGAACATTTACGGCGGTTGAGGTGATCATGACCCGCTTGTTAAATGGAATAGTTATAACAAATGCAAATAAAATCTGTTTATTAAAGGAGTACCCTGTTTAATAAAGTAGTCAGCATGTTTAATGAAGTAGTCAGCATGAACAATAAAAGAAAAAACAAACAGAATATAACATGTTTTCTAACCATTTTATAATCGGTATCAAATCTTGATCATTGTCTGATATCAACAAGTTTTTTTTTTTTAATAAAAGTAGTTTTTATATTCTAAAAGAAATTTATTGAACAATTTAAAGTTACATTTATACTTTGTATGCATGCCTTTAGTAACAACGAGAAATAGCTTCAAGACTACAAATTTCACAGAAATCTGTAAGCCGTATCAGCCAGGCTATTAAAAATAGGCAAGATTACAATTCGGCACGACAAGGAAATTGTGGACGCAAGTCCAAAGTGAGCCCGAGAACTCAACGCAAATTTTTCCATATGGCTAAAGTGAATAGAAAAGCCACTAGTGAAGACTCAAAAAAGTCCTTGGAGAAGTATGGTATTGATATTTGCAGTTCTACAATTAGGAGAAGGCTTATTAATGCGATTGAATCCGAATATAATGTGCATAAATTGTTAGAGGAATGCCTTGACATTAAAAATATAAAAATCGAAAGAGCACATCGATCGGGACCGAGAAATGGCAAGAAACACAGAGCGATAGTTCTAAAATTATTAAATTATAAAGACAAAACTGAAATACTTAAAAAATCGTGTAAATTCAAAGGTAAATACATCTTTATAAATGAAGACTTCAGTACTAAGACTACAGAAATAAGGAAGGGTTTAAGAGAACACATGAAAAAAGAAAGGGAATCCGGCAAATTCGCGGTCATATTCTACGACAAACTAGTCATTCGCGACTGGACTGCGAAGAAACGAGATGCTTTTTCCATTGAATCTATATAAGTATTCATATATTTTTTTATTTTAACTAATTTTAAATTTAAATAATTAATAATCTTAATTTTATATTTTAAAATGGATGATAATTTATTAATTAAACTTTGAGATGAAAATGGCACAATTTGTGATAATGACGTCACTAATTAATTCAACCTAAAATCATTAGAATGCAACTGCTATTCAATTTCTGAATCTAATTTTTACCTTTAACAAAATAAAAACACATTTTCAATCTTAATATTCGAAGCATAAACAAAAATTTTAAAGATTTTAAACTTCTAATGCACAAATTTAATCACAATTTTAAAATAATCTGTCTTACTGAGACGTGATGTAAATATGACGAGCATAATTTACTGTTTGAATTGACGAATTACGCGTCAATTCATCAACCACGAAACTTCCGCGCCGGTGGAGGTGTATGCATTTTTATTCATAACTCCATTAATTTTATACCACGTAATGACCTCAGTGTGAATGAAAAATATTACGAGCCATTGTGCATTGAAACAGTTAACCAAAATTCTAAAAACATAATTGTTAATGTTATTTATAGAGAACCAGCGGGTAATTTAAAAAATTTTAAAACTTGCTTCCATAATTTTTGAACAAAAGTTAATAAAAAACAAAATTCGGTAAACTGAATAATAATCTCCTTTACAAAATAATTTCATTTCAACAATAACAAAGCCATCAAGAATCACAATAAGCTCATCTACCCTACTGGATAACATAATTACTAATAATTTTTCTAATTGCTGCTTTAGTACAGGTATAATAAAGACTGACTTGACAGACCATTTCTACACATTTTTTATAACAAAAAGCATAACCCCTGATAATATTCCCACAAAACTAAATGCCCTAAATGCCCTAAATGTATACAAATTAAACTTGTTATTTATGTTTAAAATTCAAAACGAATTAACTCCAAAATATTTTTATAAAAACTTCTCTCTTATTAATCATAAATATAAAACAAGACACTCAATAAATAATTACTACATCCTACTAACATCACTCAAAAAGTTTGACTTCTCAATTACATGTCGGGGACCACGCTTGTGCAACTCGGTTCTTGACAAAAATATGAAAAAAATAAAATCTATTGATATATTTAAAAGAACTTTAAAAAAACACTTACTAAATTTAAACAACACGTA